ACGTATCTGCTTCTATATCTGCATCCACACACGTATCTGCTTCTATCGCTGCACCAACACACGTATCTGCTTCTATATCTGCATCCACACACGTATCTGCTTCTATATCCGCGTCAACACACGTATCTGCTTCTATATCAGCATCAACGCACGTATCTGCTTCTATCTCTGTATCTGTGCGGGTATCTGCTTCTATATCTGCATCCACGCGCGTATCTGTTTCTATTTGCTCATCCACATACGTATCTGGCTCTATCTCTGCATCAACGCATGTATCTGCTTCAATCTCTGCATGAAGGCGCGTATCTACTTCCATCTCTGTATCCACGCACGTTTCTGCTTCTAGCTCAGCATCAATGCACGTTTCTGCTTGTATCTCTGCATCAACGCATGTATCTACTTCTATCTCTGCATCTGTGCGCGTATCTGCTTCTATATCTACAGCTACGCATGTATCTGTTTCTATATTTTCATCAACAACACACGTAACTGCCTCCTCACCCGCATCCACTTCCTGCTCCGTCTCTCCGCCGCCGTCCACGGTTGCACTCGCCACCATCTTGTAAACACTCTCGTCAATCTCTGTCTTATTCTCTGCACCGTCCGTGTCCGCAGTGCGGGCATCCCCGTGCGTAACGTCACCCTCTGCTCCGCCTGTGTCCGCAGTGCGGGCATCCTCGGCTTTGCCCGTGTCTGCAGTGCGGGCATCCCCGTGCGTCACGTGATCCTCCGCTCCGCCCGTGGCTACAGAGCGGGCATCCCCGGCTACGTGTTTCTCCTCCTCCAGCCTCGGCAGTGGCGTGGCGCGGGGTTTCAGCGTGGCTGGCGGCACGGTAACCGCCGGCGGCGGCGTTGATCGTGCTGCGTCGTCTGCGTCGTCGTCGCCGGCTTGCCGCCTGCCGTGCTTCGATCGGCGGATTGCAGTACGGTTCCAGCGCCGCGTGCGGTCCCAGCCACCGACCCGTCCTGCCAAAACCTCGATATCATCCTCTCCATCGCCGCTGTTATCACCATCGAACGATGATGCCGGACTCTGGGTCGACGGCCCCGATGATGGCGGCATTGCTTCCTCCGGCCTGTCATGGGGAAAGACAGGTGGCGCCACTGGCGAGGGCGGTGTGGTTACTGGTGTGTCAGGTGGCGCCACTGGCGAGGGCGGTGTGGTTACTGGCGTGTCAGGTGGCGCCACTGGCGAAGGTGGTGTGGTTACTGACGTGTCAGGTGGCGCCACTGGCGAGGGCAGTGTGGTTACTGGCATGTCAGGTGGCGCCACTGGCGAAGGCAGTGTGGTTACTGGCGTGTAAGGTGGCGCCACGCGTGTGGTAGGTGTTGATACTAGTGATGACCGCGGGGGTTTTGGTGGTGGCGCGTGCGACGCAGACTGTCTTCCATTGCCAATCGGGTCCCTACTGACGTCACTGCTCTTCCCTCTTACGTCACAGTCACTACGGTCGTTCTTGTAGAATACGTCATCTGTTTCAATTGCCGCGGGATGACGTGTTAGTGACGTGTCGATAGATGGGGGAATTTCAACAGCAGTTGGAGAAGGTGATGGGAGTTCATCACCTGACTTGTCCTGGCTACCAGCTGACAGCCGTACCAGGTTGAACGCTTCGAAAGCCTTTTGCTCCTCTGTCTTCTGCTCCGATACTCCTATACTAGATTCTGAAGACGAAGCCTCCACTGATAATCTTGTACTGGTTTCAAGAATTGGACTTTCCTCTGTTATTCCTGCACTAGATTCCAGACTTTCTTCTGTTCTTCTTGCATTAGATCGTAAACCTTCTTCTGTTCTTCTTGCATTAGATCCCAGACCTTCTTCTGTTTCTTCTGTTGCACTCGGTTCAGGAATTATATCCTCCTTTGATATTCTTGCATTAGGTCCAGACATTATACTCTGCTCTGTTACTCTTCCACTAGATTCTCGAATGGGGCTCTGCTTTGATCCTTCCTCATCATTAGGTCCAGGAGGCAGACTCACTTCTGCGGGATGTAATCCATTATCCCTCGTCATCTCGGTCAGCCCACCTTCCCTAACCGTTCGCGGCGCGCCGCCAGACGCCTCTCCGCCTTCCGCGGATTTCGATGACGCGCGCACGTTCTCGGTCGCTCCCTCACGCAGGTTTCCTTCCACATCCTCATCTCGCGCAGCTCGCTGTCTGTTTCCCATCCACACATCCGCAGCAGCAGCAGCAGCAGCAGCAGCAGTGATGACGTCACTGGGAGCGCTCGCACTGTCCGCCTCCAGACGTCGCGTCGGTCGCGCTAAAAACCAGCGGGTTGCTCTTATCAGTGTTTGGAGACATTCAGGGCGGATACGCGCTGCTAGCATTACTACATGCTGGTAAACATGCCGGTAGCAAGAGATCGGCTTCTCGTTTTTCTCAAGAGTACGCCGTACGATACGAGACCAAGTGTTAAAAATATATAAAACAACGAGGAAAATAATAATAAGAAGAAGAAGAAGAAGAAGAAGAAGAAGAAGAAGAAGAAGAAGAAGAAGAAGAAGAAGAAGAAGAAGACGAAGAAGAAGAAGAAGAATGAGAAGAAGAAAAAGAAAAAGAAAAAGAAAAAGAAGAAGAAGAAGAAGAAGAAGAAGAAGAAGAAGAAAAAGAAAAAGAAAAAGAAGAAGAAGAAGAAGAAGAAGAAGAAGAAGAAGAAGCAGGGGAATGAGAAAAAAAAGAAAAAGAAGAAGAACAATAACAATAATAATAATGAATAAATTATGTGTTTATTCGAACAAACGCCCCGATTTGTTTATATCGTTTCATGCGTAGCACTAAAGAGACGATAAAGATGGGGGAAATCACAGTGCGAGCATGCGGCTACACACATAATGACGTAACAGTATCATTGCATACGAGATCTATATATCACATACCTAGCACAGATATGCCATAATATGATCCAAAGAATCAGACCCCTATACCCATTTATTGCTGAGAGAATTTAAAACATGAAATCTGGTCTCGTTGTCAGAAACAAAATTAGTCTCAACATTATATTGCATAACAAGCATAATGAATTATTATTATAATTACTATTAATATAATAAATATACAACAGTGATTAATATAGTAATAACATATTATGAATGACCCGTCTTTTAAACCCAACCTAGGCTAATAATTATGAATTGTGATATCTATATTAGTTATTATATCTCCATTAATTTAGTTATTATATCTATATTAGTTATATTACCTATGTGGTTATATTATTTATATTATGTATATTATCTATATTGGTTATTATATCTACATTAGTTTATAAGTCTGTTATGCTCACCGTTGTACATGGGGTTCGTCTGCCGCAAGCACGTGCGCACGACATCGGCAGCGGTGCGTCGGTCCTTAGGTCGCCACGACCGTCGATTCTGACGATTGCGGTTGAACCAGGCGCCGGATTCCAGCTGCAGCCGCCTGTAGAAAGTGTGTAGGTGTGTGAGTGATGTATGTAGAAACGCTACAGCTGCAGCATCGCTCGGTGAGCGGCTGAGCAACAAATAGGCGCCTTCCAGTAGACGTAATAATAATAATAATAATAACAATTTAATTAACTTCGTGATCACAATTAATCGGATAATCAGTAATCATGCTCGTGTAATATAACAGTACGATTAATTAGCAATAACTAGTAAGACGTTAATTGTTGTAATGTTTCGCACAGCGCGCTTAGTGTTTCGCACAGCGCGCTTAGTGTTTCGCACAGCGCGCTTAGTGTTTCGCACAGCGCGCTTAGTGTTTCGCACTGCGCGCTTAGTGTTTCGCACAGCGCGCTTAGTGTTTCGCACAGCGCGCTTAGTGTTTCGCACAGCGCGCTTAGTGTTTCGCACAGCGTGCTTAGTGTTTCGCACTGCGCGCTTAGTGTTTCGCACAGCGCGCTTAGTGTTTCGCACAGCGCGCTTAGTGTTTCGCACCGCGCGCTTAGTGTTTCGCACAGCGCGCTTAGTGTTTCGCACAGCGCGCTTAGTGTTTCGCCCACAAAATCGCGACCTAGGTTTTCCCGGCAGCAGGATTTGTACGATCGGACAGAGACAGGAAAACATCTCCTATTCACCTGAGACTCCATTAGGCTTAGATACAAATATCTCGAAAAATGGCCTATATATGTTTCCGGAAATTCTCGAAAAAACTCTAAATATCTCGTAAAATTTCCTAAATATCTTCATAAATATCTTTGTTAGTTTAACGTTTATGCGAAGATTTGCCATATTCTCTATGAAGAGTTGCATTACGGGGGCGGTCTGCGCCTGACCTTCGCCACGAGTATCTGTATTAGTAGTATCTGCCATATTGGATTACTATCTAGCATTGGAATTGTGGAATACATTATCGAAAAGTAACACCGCTGGATGGGTATATTGCTGGCTCGGGTTTATGAAAGAAAAACCCAGAAAACCACCCAAGGGATATATGCTTTAAAAGTCGTAAATATTCTAGAAAATGACATTTTTTTTCTAAATATCTAAAAAAATTTGTATCGAAACCTAGAATCCATATCGCCTGCGAAATCGCGACTTACTTTTCGCGGTAGCAAAACTTGCACGTCCATGCCGCGCTGCTGCTAGCTAGCGGCACCTTGCAGTTGCCGCAGACGCTGCTCTGGCAGTCCGGGCACACGCGACCGGAATTCCAGAAGAAGACTCCCAGGGCTTCACGGCAGCGAGCGCACCTCTTAGTGTTCTCGTCGCTCGCCTTCAGCGCCCCCTCGCGCTTGATGTTGTGAACTTCCTGTTTGAGTTTACTGAAAGCGAAGTAGTTATAGATTGGTAGAAATAGGGATGGGGTTGTACAATGAAGAACGATTCCACATGAGTTGTAATGAGCCCATGAAATTAAATATTAAAATTATAAGATAAAAATTAAATCAAATTTGATAAAGAATAAGGATGACCTAGCACGCTACCGTCAGGTGATATAGAGAGAAAAATATATGCGCACGGTACCCGTATCTGTCTGCGTGTGTTCATATATTCACAGAAAGACAGATATTCATGATGTTTTCATATTAATTAAATATATTTACTGCATATATATATATAATATATATATAATATTTTATATATATATATATATA